GCATCCATCAAGTCCAAAAGAAACAGCACACTTTGCCAGAGCTATTTGAGGGTCCCATCCGAATTTGCCTGGATGGGGGAGGGCTGAGGGTAAGTTTGTTTCCCTTAGACCTCATGACATGCAAATATGTGGCTGCCTCACCACTGAATCAAATCATTCTTTGACACGCTGTGTTTACAAATGGCAAATACATACCATGCAGGAGGTTCTTAAAGGAACATATTTCTGAGACTTCTCAAAAAGAAAAAGGCATTTCTGTTAAAAAACAAAACTGTTCAGTGCAAGGGCAAAAAGAAAGTAAGATGGAACATTATTCATCCCCAGATACACACTAGTTCATGCATAATGAATTCAAAAGGCCTCATGTGGGCTTGTAAATCAGAAAAGAAAAAGAAAAGTTGCAATTACTGAAGTCTGATTGTTGTGTACAGGAAACCATCTCAGGGGAGGGGGGGTGGGGGGCAGGAAAAAAACCTCCTCCAGTTTCAGGAAAGATGTTCAGGGACAGAGTAGAACTCAAAATTCTGACACGGCTGAAGCATTTTCTGGGCCGTTACCATTTGCTGCTTTCCGCCAGGTGGGAGGGTGCTCACAAGGATTACCATCAGTGTGGCAGCAATGGACTCCTCTAGGCTCTCTCTCAGTATTTCCCAGTATTTCTGGCTTTTGAGTCACACCCCCCTCCTTTACTTTCTGCTTGGGCCCAACAGGGGCCAGCTCTCACAGACAGGCTCCAGCATGCACAGAGCATTCAGAGGTCCTTGTACTCTGCATATGATTCTATGCAGACCCTTAACCAAGTGCAGCTGAAAGTCAAGATATTGTGTCCATTTAAAAAAGCAGGCTGAGGTTAGGCAGAGTGAAGAAAAGATGGCTGCTTGTGGTATGAACCACAACTGACCTTGAGGCAGATTTTTCCACAACCAAGAGCCAATAGATCTGAATCACTCGGTCTACAACGTCAAGTGGGTGGGAGCTGTTCAGCATCACAGATAGAAGGAAATGTTTGAATGGTTTAAATATGTATTATGTTATCTGAGTACTTTGGTAAAATTGTCAAATTTGGACATGTTCTGGAGGTTATCTGTGTCTAGATAGTGTCTCACAGTTAAGACTGATCCTCTGACTACTTTTGCCAAGATCCGATGATCTCTGCTTGTAGTCTTGTTAAACCTCTCCAGACATGGAGTTGTTACTTAAACAAGACTGATCTCTTTCCTCCTGTTTTAATTTGTTCTACAAGCTTTATTTATACCAAGGACCTTTAATTTCAAGCCTGTGATTTTAGCAGATTGAGGAGAGAGGGGACCAGTTAGGTGTGAATTTGAGTCTAGAATGAGAATCGTAAATAGTTTTCTCTTGTCTTCCTTCCAGAAAGAAAAAAACCCAATAGTACAGTTCTTAACCAAGTACCTTTTCAAGTTCATAAATCAGATCCAGACAGAAGTATTTCTCAAGCAGATCTGTTGAGAGAGCTAATGACACTTAGAAATACTAACACAATATGTTCTTGCCATCAAGGACGAGAAGTTCAGACACATCCTATTGCACATCACTTGTCTTATGCTTTCAAAGACTACCCTCAAATTTGTCTAAGATGTAGATAGAGATAACAACAGCATTAATAGAAGACAGGCCCAGAGAAACTTCTAAAACAGAATCGGGGTTTTCCCTAACAGGTGCAAATTATGTACAAATGAGGAGGTCAGCAAAATCCTGTTATTTCTTCAGACTATCAATTACATGATATCCCTTGCAGCTCCTGCAGCACTTCTTGAACTTTCTGAAATACAAAGCAACTTATTTTATCTGTCTCCAAACAAGATCTGTCTTGACCTAGCTTCCCTTTCACGTTGAAGGTTTGGGAAATTCATCAAGCAAATGATGGTTCTCCTTAAACTACTCATGTTACTTGTTCCAATTTAGAATATTCATTGTTTAAAGAACAAAACCTCAGAGATCACATTCCTTAACAATTCCTAAAGACCTTGTTTTCCTGACAAAATATCTTTGGCATTTATTGAATATGTTCTGTTATTTGGGCTAGCAGAGAGTATTTATAATAAAGCACAATTGTTGTTCAAAAAGTTTGGGCAACATGGATTTGGAAGCCCAGAAAGCACCCAAAGGAGAAATACTACATGTCTTGTTCTTGTATTGCTCTCTGAGCACTCATTTTTTGCCTCTGCTGGAGACACAATACTGGGCTACATTCACCTTCAGTCTGACCCTCCACAGTCACTCTTCTGTCACGTGCAAGACTACTAAACTTCCTATTAAACAAGAAACCCCAATCTACTCCTATCTGTACAATTTTTTTTTTTTGGCCTACTGTAACTTACTAGGAAAAACATTAAAGAGGAACAACTGCTTGAGTAGCCTTACTCTTACCTAAAGAGATCAGAACTACTGTAGTTTTATCTGAACAAGCTCTCAGATGGATTCATGCTGACAACAAAACCCACTGATATTATTTAGAAAGCTGTGCCGAATTTTTTGAGAAGCTGCGAAAGAGCTTCAATGAAGTGTTGAAAGTTCTAACAGAGCAACAATTTGCTCAGTTCCAGCAGATCTGGAAGTTACCAACTACAAGAGTCATCTTTTGCCACTTAAAAAGAAGGAAAGGCAAGGCTGCTGCTGAGACAGGCACTACTCTACCTATGGCTAATGCATCCACTGCCATCTGAGAGTAGCAGCAAACAAGGCTATAAGAATGTTTTTAAGTAGTTGTGTACAGACACATACATGCATCTATACAAGTCAGTTTATGAGATTAAAAATGCAATGGTGGTGCTTAGACAGCATAAGTGAAGGTCAGAGGCTAACACTAACACTTGAACCCAGAGTAAAAGTGTTAATTTGTATACTTTGTAGTGCCTTTCATTTTCCTAGATATTCCAAAGGGCATTTTTGTTTTGTGAACTGCACCTCTGATTTGTAAGACAAGATTACTCTTCCTCCCATATACATTCCTCCTAGGGAGAGGAAAAAACCCTGTGAATTAGCAGAATTACTTTTCTTTCTCTTTCAGAAGATATAATTCTGTATTATAAACTAAAGACTGAATTTCCGAATCAAGAAAAATACCTGGGACAATTTTCCAACCATGTCTCCTTGAGTTCTGCTGGTAGCCAATAGACATCTCTGAACTGTAGTGTTTCCATTGTATCTACTTCAAAGAATCTATTTTTTAAATCCTTCTATAACATAGGCTGGAATATACCAAGTTGAACACATAATAAAGGAAATTCTGCAGTAAGTTGATTATTATACCCAACAAAAACACAGGGACAGTCAGAATGGTGTGTTAAGTCTAACAGTGCATATTACCTATTGCTGTTTGAAAGCTGCAAGTTGCAAGATGATCAAACACTGGTGATGTCAACAGAATGCTCTTCAAATACTTCATCATTTAATGTTATTAAAATAATTTCTTATTTGCATACAGAATTTCATATAGCATATTATTTACAAAAGAGCTCAATATCATATAAAATCTTTTACATTCATTATAGGAACTTATTAATTATGCTGGCTAAATACATGAAATCAAATCTATTCCTGGTACACAAACCATTTCTTAAACAAAGTTCAACAACCTGAATATTTATTGTCTTTTATTCCCCACTGTCTTTTACTGTCAGCTGTTATAACCTCCCACCAAGGAAAGGGAAACAACTGCCTTTGCTTCTGCCTCACAATTCAAACTGTTCTTGCCTCATGGCTGATAAAAAATCAGCATTGGCATGAACACTGTTAAACATTACTGCCTTTTAAATATGTGTAAAATTCTATTGTTTACATCACCAAAATTACCTTAACATTTGTTACTCTGTTACTGGGGTTCCACACCTGGCCTCTTCAACTGTTGCAATTGGATGTGTTTATGATTAAGCTCACAAGAATATGTGAATTGTTGGAAAACAGAAAAATTTGATTGGAGCAGAATTTGCACAGAACTTGCCCCTCTTGGAGCACTAATTTTGGCAAGGATAAGTGAATGACAGTTTTAGTGAAAAGAACGTTTTTCATCTCTTATTACTCAACCTCGATGCTATGCAAACCCCCTGAAATTACCTACATGAAATCAATGGGTATTACTGAAGTAACAAAAGTTACTACAAATAGATACTTCAAATTTGAAAATTATCCTCTCTCCAAAATAAATTTAGAAGTATATTTGCCATACAAGAATTATGGCATTAATAATGATAGAACTCAATTTTTCATATTTTTGTACTTTCCTGAAGACATAAAGTACTGTTAATGTAAATATAAGGCTCACAAAAACTTGAGGGAAGCAGTACTTCTGTCTATGAAGTTTATGTAGAAAGATCATGAACTAAATTATTTTCAAGAAACTCAGGATAAACAGAACACCACAAGTTCTCTCAAGAGCTGACTGAATGCAAATGTTTCTATCTGCTGTGGGAACTGGACTAAGCACTCAACAAGTCTGCTGAATGAACACTAGGCATGTACAATATGGCAAGTTTAACAGAATTTATCTGCTCCCAAAATGCCAATGCAAAAGAAAGTCACCTTTTCTGCATTACAAGGTTTAAATGAACAGCTAATTCAGACATTAGCAGAATACATCAGTAGTATCAGTGTGCTGATCTTCATGAACTTGAATGTTCATGAAACTCTTAGTAGTGGATCACTTCCCTTAAGTTTATCTATATCCACTTGTACTCAAAGTGTTTTTACTGTTGCAGTTCAGTGAACAGAAACTGAAAACATCCATTAATGACACCAGAGTAAAGATGGCCTTTGCTGGTGTGCTGTTAGGTATCAGAATATGTTCTAAAACCAGTATTTGAAATTAAGACAGACAGGCTTATATGCAATCCTTATCTCACTACAAATCCACATCAGAGAAGTAAAACTATCAGCCTGTGTGTGTATCGAACAAAATGCACTGTTATTTGAAGAGTAATTTCTTGAGGTCGCACATGAGGATGCCAATAAAAACCCACTGGTTTTGTACCTAAACTGTGTTCTGCCACATCTACATTAATGTGTGTTAGAAGTACACTGTAGAAGTAACAAAATTCCATTTGCCACCATCACCCAGCAACTGTGTTCCCTGGCTGTGATTTGCAAATTACTAGAGGCCAAATTTAAAGTCTATCAAGCATTTTCTGTTGTCCTTTCTTTTCAGCATAGAAGAAAATAAAGTCTGACTGTCATGGAAGTGGATGCGCTGAGTAGCAGTTTCATTCCTCTGTTCCAGAAAATTTCCTAGGTCTGAGAACAAGATCTTTGATAGAGGTAGTGATTTCCTGAAGCTCTTTTCGAATGCTTTCTGCTCCTTCCTCCTCTTCCATGTTATCTTTTGTGTCACTGTCTCCGTGTTCAGTTTTCTTAGTCTGGCTGGTCAATTGTTTCACCACTAATCCCTGGTATTTGACTATCAGCGAATACTGATCCTGAGGGCAAAAAATGAGAAGAAACCCAGGGAATATCAATGTTACAGAAAAGGTAGACAGACCTATAATTAGAGATATAATTTTTTTAAAGCATTCTCCCATTCTTGGGCAAAGAGAGTTAGTGATACAGAAATATATTTCTAACAAAGTACTTGACAAGCTAAATTTTGAGAGACATTCAAAGAGGTAAAAAACTGAAAGCATCCAAGTGCTGCAAAAACAGGACAATAACCAGTGAAGCATGAAAGCAATACAGTTAGTAAGCATCACCAGTTTCAGCAGTATAAAATACAGAACCTCTATGTATTTGCTCTTTAAGAGGTATATCTTTCTTTAAAACTGGATTAGAAAAGTTTAAAAAGCAACCATGCTCTAGCTCAGAGGAAAGACGTAAAAATGTTCCATTGTAAGAATCGTAATTTCCCCAAGACAGAGCTGTCTCTATGGTTAATTCAAACGACTAATAACACATTTTTAATTTTATAAAAAAATTTTTGATGACAGATCCCTGAAGAGATTGATTTGCAATGGAGTCCAGATCAGAGCAATTGCATATTCTGCACATAAAGTAATGTTTAGGCATGAAACCAAACGGTGTCAGGTTTATACAGCAAAAATAGTGTAAGGCACAACTTTCATGTTCTGTCACAGAAAAAAGGTAGTTTCCCCTTAAAAAGCTAGAAAAGAATACCTCTGGGATCTTGCCACTTAGGAAATTAATGATCTGTGGTACTGATCTTCCTGGCGCATGAAGCATGCAGTGAGTTGAAAACTGAAATAACAATACTGATGTCAGGTGCAGAACAAGAGCTGGATCTTCTGTGACTTTGAGCTGTTCAATCAGAGCTTGTCTATGCTGAAACAGGACTTGCCTAAGGAACATGAATATATGAAACAAAAATATGATTCTATGATTTTTTCATATAGTAGTTGATCACATATGCTAAAACTTATTTAACATCAATTAATTTTAATTTTCTCCTCTGACCATTTATTTATGCACAATTTCAAAATGTTAATTGAAAAAAAAAAACAACGTATCACTGGTATAGCTCAGATTTTCAAAAATCTCTAGGCAATTTATACACTATATCACAGAAAGTAGTGAGCCAACAAAATTAGCTAAATGTGAATTCTCCTCTTCTTCTTCTCCCATGGATTTAGAACTGCTTGAATTTTATTTTTCAGTTAAGCAGTTTGTAAAGAAGGACTGCCTCTTACCCACTGAGTATGACTGCTCCCATACTAACCATCCTATGTTTGTTCAGCAATATAGCCACATTTCATAGAATAAATAAAATTAATGTACCTTTCCTTCTTTTTGTCTCCTTTTTTCACCATAACACCACAAATATCCACTGCAGAATCAAGGCACGAAAGAAAATCTTCTATACTCTATTAAAAATAATAGAAATATTTAATCTGTGTTTGCAGATTATAAAAAAGTTTAACTACTGTTCACAATTAATCACACAAAAGATGATTGTGAACACACTTGAAATAAACTACAGAAGAAAAGAGAAAGTAACAGGTATTTAGTAGAAATTACCTTTGTTCATCTTACAACAGTTCATATACTAACCCAAACTGTAATTCATTAGCCTTGGAAATAAAATCAAAAATGAATACATGTTCTACAATTATCTACAGATATATTTTTAAATTAAGAAACACATCAGTATAGACTTTTGCACAAAAGAATTTATAAATAACTCTCTTTGTGCCTACATTGCCATAATCTGAACGCTTGGGAGTTTTTTTAATTATTTGTAATTTTACTAGTTAAAACATACATGGAAGAACATCTGGGAACAAAATACAAAAACATCAACCACTTTAGACCTTTAGACTGGAGCTTCTCGCTCATTTTCACTCTTCTCACCTATGAAAGGCACCCTGGATTCCATACGGCAGCAAGTAGCCAAAAGTGACTATCAGTATCACAATCTAAGATCACCTTTTCATCTCTGAACATTCACAGATACAAAAGCACACTTTCTCTCACTGCCTTACACAAATACAAAAGATTATTTTACCTTCAACCTTCACAGCAGCAGTGATTACGTACTAAACTACATGTGTCAGCTATTTATTAGCATTCTATCAGCAAAACAGAAAATCTGAACTTGATTTTTACCTTGCCATTCAGAGAAGTATGCAGTTTAGTTAAAGGACCTTTGGTATCTTCTGGCAGTTTACCTAAAATCTTGATTCTGCCCTGTATGGGACAAGAATGGAAATAACCTGTAATATTAATCATCTTTTTAGATGTTGGCATATTTCAAGTGAAGTAATTACTTATTGAAAAAATATCACTGATCTACTTGAGACTGTTACAAAGGAGCTTTTATTTTTGTACCTCACTTGTGATTGTAGAGTAATTTTCTGTAGTCATCATTGACTCAGATGCCAAGAAGTTGAAAACCAGATTTGTAATGTCTGTACACAGAGTCTTCAATAGGTGTTTGGCAAGGTTAGTCTGAGTATCATCTGTTAAAACAAGTAAGTGATTAAAGTAACTTATTATAGTCATCTGGTTCCTATGATGTTATCACAGCACCTTCCTGCCTGTGGACTCTATCAACCATGAGCAGTATGAGAAAGTTATCTGGATACATGAAGATAACATCCCTCACTTGCTGTGACATTCTTATGGAATGTTGTTCAGTGAAAAATGTGAGCTTTCAGGTCTGTAAGAACATTTAAATGCATTGCTAGTATTTCAAAGATGTACCTGTATAAGCAGTAAACAACCCTGTACAATCCTCCTGAACCACTGCTATTGATCAAGTCAAGAGCATACAAAGGAAAATTCTGCAGGACAAGCAGTTAAATAGAAGAACAGCCATGTGACTTCAAGACTGAAATACTGAATTTGGGGAAAAAAAAAGAGGCTACAGAACACATGCCCAAGAACAAGGGCTAATGGGAAATAATTCTACATATTCCAAAATACAGGAATATCAGGTAGTTTTGCTGATGTTTCCTTCTGCTAGAAGATCTCCACAGGCGATTTTCTAGGCAAAAGCTGAATACAGCAGAGAATCTTGGAAATGTCTACAGTATTTTCCTAATGCTACCTTTTCTGTCACACCTTACAGAGCAACCCCCTACAAAACAAATTTGACAGACTATCCTCAAGCAGCAGCTACTTTCAGTATCAAACCCATGAGGTTTAAACAGCAGCTTCTTAGAATCAGGTGGTACTCAATTTTTTCATTAGTGGCACAGTTGACAGAATAAAATGAGCATACTAATATTTTCCTTTTTTTTTTCATCCGGACAGTGAAAAATTGGAACGAATGCAGACACTTGGTAAGGAAAGACAAGAACACAGTTACCTTGACATAAGGTAACAGAATATGGATATGAAATAAAGAGAATGAATTTCAATTACTGTGAAAAACTATGCACTTCAGCATAAAGGCAGTGTTATGCATACTAAACACATCTCTAGTTTTTTCTTTCTAGATTTTCCTTTTTTAAATTCTAGCTCCTGTGTGACCTTTAATGTAGATTCTGGAATAAATTTAGCATCCTTGAAGGAGCATATTAATTTTTCAAAGTATGTATTTTGTACCTGTGAAATGCTTTGCTCCCTTTTCAAATAACCGAATGTTGTTGTACAGGTTTGAGAATTCCTCCTGCAAGTCCTTCATAGCCTGTCTTCTGTTGGCTCCAGAGGAAGATGTGGAAGATGTAAAAACGGAACGCACAACCTCCTGGTAAGTTTTTGTCAAAGGTCTTAGAACAGGAAAGAAGAAAGGAGAAAACACTGAGTAAAGTGTGAAACTGTACAATGTTTTCCCAAATATATCAGCAACAGAGAAAATGACCTCATTATGTAGTAAATGATGGGGACATGAATGTTACAGAACTGTGAGATAAACAAAAAGCCAATTATGAAAATCAGAAAAAAAACCCCATGAAGAAATTAAAATATTAATTAAACTATACTTAATGGCAGATGTTCTAATGTTATAGTATGTATGGTATGTAAATATATGCCAAGGTTTTCACAATCCTCAATGGGAAAAAGGTGAAAGACAAAAGGATTTCTAGTAGCAATGCTATTCACAAGCTTTCAGGGGCCTCTGGACAAATTTCTAAAGATGCAGTTACTATGGCACTCCAGGTTTATTCAAGCTTGGCTATTACAGTCTTATCTCATGCTCCTTTTGCTCTGAACATACATATTCACATTCTCTTTGGTATGGAATATCTTTTAAAAGAAGTTATTAATCTTTGCATAGCTCAGTTTGTGAACATAACTTACTATCCAGCTCTCATGGGTACCAGGAGACACAGATGCCAGCAAACATGAACATATATCAAAGGCTGTGCAGAACATGGGACAGCTGAAACCCCAGTGTGACGGGGTGTAAATACGCCCATGAAGCTGAAAATGAGCTTGCAGGACCATGTACTGCTAAGCAGAGGCACATTCCTGTATCAGTACAGCTTTCTAACAACACATAAGATGTGTAACATGGAGCTGTACAGAAAGACATGAACCACAATATTCTCTATCAACAAGACCCTCTTTTCTAAGCAAGAAAAAAGACTGAAGTGTAGATTCATCTGAAGTGAATCACAATTTCTCTAACTCCAGCTGAATTATTGAAATTACCTTCTTAGATGTTCAGCAATTTCTGTAATGAGCTCTTCAGGGCAATCCTGCATGCGGGTCTTTAAAACATCCTCAATTTCCTCTTGTGACATGAAAGAGAACTCCAGCTTCTTACTCCTACCTGCAGTGGCCATAAATAACACTCACTGAGAAAACATTCCATTAAGTATTGCTACAATTACTCTGTGCCATGAGACACTGGAAAGCCTCAAATTCCAACCACCATAGAAGAAATACTTATCAACAATGGAAAAACTGGGATGATTACACATGACAGCGCAATTTTACACATGTGAAAAACTGACAAAATCTCTCTTTTGATCACTTAGAAGTTTCTGTAATAGACAACTGAAGTAGTGTATGAGGATATGTATTTTTGGTGACACTTTTCTTTCTGCTTGGCCCATTATTTTAGAAACCATGTCACCAATACCAAATAAAGTGCCAAAACTGAATTGAGTGTTCCTACTTGAAGGATTTCACAACGCTATTGTTTTTATTTTTTTAAACTCCATCTAGTAAGGTACACAATCACGTAACACAGTGTCCTAAACTTGAGGTTACAGTATAAAATCTGAAACATGATAAATTAAATCAGACAAGGTGTTCCTGTAATAAAAGCAACTTATATGCATACAATTTAGTGCATCTGTATTTCAGTTTCGTACAAAACATGAACTTTTCCCGGGTGCTGTAGAATTTTTACATGTAAGAATGAGATCAGAACAGAGAACCAGAAAAGGACATGTTCCAGATGTACCTTAACACAGGCTTATTGTGCACATAAGTATGGAGATCAATGATGTTCCTTGTTGTGCCACAGCAGCAGTGAACATACAAGGTTTATAAACAAGTGAAAAGGGAAGTTAAATCAGGTTTTAGAAAGGATTTTATTTATACTTGAATGGTTTCATGTGAGTTTACCTTGAGATTGTGATTCAAGCTATTTATTATAATACAGCAATAAGGGCAGAACAGAAAGCTTACACCAAAACCCAAAAGTGACTGAACACTGTTTTACTCAGTAACTGAGCAGTCCTGAAAAATAATTATATTTATATGTGGATTACAGTACACTGTGAGAACAGTATCAAACAAAATTACTACAGTGTATTTCACACATCAAATATCATGTTTCAAAGTATCTTTCAGTCAGTATTTAAAGCCTTGATCCTACATAAAAAATGGAAGAACACATTTCTGGTTCTCCAGCAAACAAAAGAAAGAACATGGCTGCCTCATTTGCAACCACTGTTTGCTCTAAATCTAACAATGTTAGCTTTTACTTAGCAAGCCATTCATGCTCCTTTTAATAGTGGACAAACAGGCACCAACAATAAGAAGTGATATTAAAACTATCAAAACATTAGTTTTGGCTGTGTATTTTATTCCTATGAAGAAAAAAACTGTTTGATTGCTATGATTTGTTAATTTAGGCCATTCATTTATCAAACACTATGCAGCAGGTGTTACAAAATCAAGTGTAACATTCACCCCAAAATCTATGGCATTTCCTACATAAAATAAAAGAATGAATATACAATGGTATTATTTCCTTGACTTAAAATTTCCTTTTTAAAGACTAAGTTATCCTGTTCAGTGAACATGTAATGTCCATTTCATTTAAATACCAGACCCATAGATACAATTTTAAGTACATAGTGTTCTCATCTTCTTGACATTTTAGCTGACCCTATCTAAACAGTGGGGGAAGAACAGACATGTAGGAAAAAAACAAAGTAGTAAAACCATGTTGAATAGCTATTAATAGATAGTGTCTAAAATAAAATGACAAACCTGTGGCAGGCCCTTGTGACTCTTCATCGCTATCAGCATCCTTTCTTCCTTTCTTCTTGGTTTTCTTGATCTTTATCTCTCTGGCATTCCCACCACCTCCTCCTCTCACGCTTCCACTGCCCTCTGGTGGGGAATTACTTGCTTAGTACACAGGAAAGTTGCAGCACTTAAAAAGTTTACAATACCACGGTAATTTATCTATGTTACTTGTTAATGCTGGATTGAAAACCACAACCTGATTCTAAACACAACCTAGAACATATATTTCAGAATCTTAAGGCCATACGTTTCTTAAGAAAAAAAGCAACTGAAGCAAAGCTTTGTTTATCCTAATGTCATTAATAAACACAAACACTAATATCAAATGCACATACAAAAAAAAAAAAAAAAAAGAGCAGTATCTTGCTTCAGCTAAAAACAGATGAGATACCAGGGTCCATAATGTAATAGGAGATCTCTGGCAGCTGAAAACAGCATCTTAGTAAGCATTTAGCATTTTTATTCAGTGATGCTAAATAACTTGAGTTTATAAAAACTATGTTAGCTAATGTAACTGTTAATTTTCAGAGAAAGAATCCTACACTATAAGCATTTACCCAAAATATTACTGGAAGTACACATTCAATTAACTAGAGCACTCGATCCTTTTCAACTTTTCCTAGATGACTACAGAGTAATGGGATGTTCCAGCTCTGACACACATAACAAATTACTTTGTTCAGAAGTCCTGAAATCAATGTATGCAACTTCAGACAGAATCTCTACTCTCCACAAGACAAGCTGTTCTGCTCTTTCTTCCCTTTTTCACATCCTCTTCTGTTATTCTTTCACTTAGAAGAAATTTAAACTCCATGGTGCTAGACATATATGCATTGAGAAAGTGGGTGTTTTTTCCATTTAAGTATGGTTCAAGATTTCAAGTAACTACATTATGTAACTACTATTTTTTAAGAAAAGGAAACACAAAGACATGGTGCTCTTCCTTAAAAAGCTAACTGCATCTGTTACATGCCACAGATGGATTTTTAAGCATCACTCTGCAGGAACAGCCAAAAAATAGTGCTTTTCACAAACTTATTTGAAATCTCACTGCATTACAGTAATTACATTACATAAAACTGTTATGTTGGGGGGCTTTTAGGTAATGCACATAACAGTCCATGATAAAACATTTCATGGTAGTGCTTGCTGATGGTGCAGCATGTTACCTGTGGGTATCAATTTGTCTAGACACGTAGTACAGGCTCAGTAGAGTCTCACTCCTCAGAGGGCTGGAAACTGAAGTCATTCTATTATGACAATTCAATTAAAGATCCAAGCTTCTCTACCTTAGCTATGGCCTAGAAAAATCTGCCATCTCTTGTGGCAAGCATAAGTTTAATTTCCATGTCAACTTAGGCCTACTCATGCTTTTTTTTTTTAAGAGTAGCATGTTCTATTTTGCAGATGAGTATATTCAATCAAGCCAGATGCACCAGTGCTCTAATTCTCTTACTTTCAGTAGCACAGTAACACTCTGCAAGTGAGTTCAACATAGATTGCTCAGCTCTGTTGCAACAGCAAAAGAATCACACAAAGTTTATGGGATTCACAGTCTTCAGACTGAATACCGGTTTAAAAAGCAGGATGATTTCAAAGGGTTAAACCCACATATATTTATTCTTCCTTCAACTGAAATCTATTCCAAACAGTCACCACACAAATGAAGTAAGGTTTGGGATTGATTTAATCCAGAATATACCTCAAAGCAAGCTGTCTACATCTCCAAGGAACTGTTACATGTGCAAAACCAGAAAATTCCATGGCATGGTTTTCTCAGAAAAGATGACAAGTAATCCTCAAAAAAAAATCCCAAAAACTCATTCTAATTTTAGAAAAAGTTATTTTGGAATTAACATCCAAAGACTAATAATAAGAAACACAGTAATTTTCCTGGACCCCTGAAAAATGGAGACTAAAATTTTATCTATACTGTGTAATAAAACATAGTAGAGAGGTCCCTGAGCTAATACTGCTTTTATTCAGTCTTGTGTGATCATACTGTATAAAATAATAAATGAACACAGGATTCCTTGCTTCTAAAAGCAGTTCACTTGTGTTGAGCTACTCAAGAGTCCTTTATAGTACTTCCTCTGCATTTCTAAGTCTGAAATTAGTTCTCATGGGCATAGCTGGATGTATGCATATCCACAGTATAATGGTAAGCAGCTGGATTATGGATTATTTCTTAAATATCTTAAGCAACAGACTGGAAGCATTTAATGGACTAAAAATATACTAACTTTATATTTGAGTATTTCAAAGATAAAACAAATTAGTTCGTTTTTTTTTTTTGCTTAAGCTGAATATTGATATCTTACCTGCTGCTTTCTTTCTTCTTTCATCCTTTTTGTCTTTTTTATTAGCATATGAGTTGTCTAAAGAAGCCTGTTTTAAATCCTCTTCAGTGATTAAATTAACAGGGTTGTTTTTAATTTCCTAAAAGGAAGAACATGCATATCATAGCCAAAAGATACAGCAATGGAAGAAACATTTAAACCAGCTGGCCATTTTCAAGTACATGAATCAAACCTCACATTTTCCAAGTGCAAGAGACTGGACTTCTTGAGTATACCAGAGTATAAATTACACCCATCAAATATAGAAACCTGCTGTTTGTCTTGCTTCTTCTCTAGTTGTATTTCAGATGAGATGTACAGAAATTTTAACAGAGACTGGAAAGTCCCATGAACTTTACTCCAACACTCAACGTGCACCGCACCTTGACCAACAAAAACCTACTGTACCTTTTCTGCTTTCTGTTGCATCAGATCAGAAAAGAGCTCAGCACAGCTGCTTAGAAATTTCTCACTGACTGCAATGGTGTCATTGAAGACCAAACCTGAAGAGCTTTTGTTTAAAGATCTCATCACTTGCTGGAGCAAAATCCCAACATCTTCTACTGACAATGAACTGGGCAGAAGAGTCTAGGGTAAAGAAAATTAAAATACAGCAGCCTTGTAAGTGGATAAACAGAATAGACAGAGGCCTTTTGACACCTACTAACTATTCAGAAAGCATTGCACTTTTCACATTAAGCTACTAATTTAAGACTACACACTATTTTAAATCTTCTAACATGCAAATCCACATTTCTCTAGAAATATGTGTTACCTCTGGGCAAATGCATGGTACAACAGCTACAAAGCAACACCAAAGACAGAACATCAGCAGCACTTCAGAGCAACAAAGGTAGTGCTATAAGGCCTAAAATTAGGACTCAGGACAAAGTGGCTAAGGTCCCTCTGCTCACCAAAAGTGTTGTAAGCATTCAGTTTAGACATTTTCTCAAAAAAAAAAAAAGCCCAACAGAAATATATTGTTCTCTAGTAGAGAATACACTAGTTTGAAATGAAAGTTAGTCTTACATATCTATAAACTGAATGCCAGTAGGTCCTTCCCCTGTTTTTGTTCAGATCAAATCAAAGGCAAATAATGCCCTTTTACCTGTCATTTTAATTAGCCTGAATTTTCTTCTTTGACAACATAGAACTTCATTACACATATATGTAGTTTCAATAAAGTATCATTTGACATAAAAATAAGAAAAAAAAAATCCAAAAGCAATTGAAAGGATTGCTTACTGCTACATCTATCCAGTTTCCAGAGCTGATGGCTTCCTCCACAGAGGCTTCAACTTGATCCACAATCTCTTGACCAACACAAGCTGCTCTCAGAAATAAGAGTTGTGCAGACTTGTATCTTTTTTTAATGTAGCCTGCTGGGTCAGGGATGCCAAGTCTATACAATGCATCAAATTCTGTAAAACAGTTAGATGTCTGTTTAAATTTAGTTCCTTTATATACATACAAGATCTTATGAGATGACTTTAATTTGAAAGCAGGAAACGAAGAGTTAAACATATTTTTTTATACAAGTCAATACAGCCTTAAGCTAATGCTGACCTAAAACTTAGTTCAGTACAAGCTACATCTAAATGTTCTTAATAGAAGTAGGCAGATTAAATCATGGATGTGACTTTGATCTGAGTTTAGAAAATTGTTTTTTTCAGATTCTTATACCATTAAGTGTATTTTTCAGATTCTTATACCATTAAGTTTATATTTGCAGTCATATCTTTCTAAAGTATTCTAATATATAATGAATATTTACAATACATACAGTGTCCAAGTGTTTTGCTTTCAACTATTTAGCAGTTCATACTTACGATGTGGGGAAAACATTCAAAGACTGACAGACAGTCCATTAGTCAAGCAGTGTTGCAGAAACACTTAATACTATCATAATAAATTAGGGTGAACCTTTTCAACATGCAAGAACAACTGCTTCTTAGGGCCTGACCATTTGGGACCATAAGGGGACATTCCTCTCTTTATTCAAATCCACATTTTCCCACAGCTTGTGCTGTTTCAAAATACCATCACCTAGCATCACTCAGCCTGAAGTTAGATATAATTATTTGCATTCAAATCAGGACAATAGTGTTACTCACTCCAGTTCTACAAATATTATTCTGGAAAAAAGTTCTTCCTGAGCACTGCACGTTTGGACTATTAGCAGCCAAAGTTTGGCTGTAATCTGAACACCGGGCCTGAAACCGCAGTCATGATGATCTGAGAAGTCTACAATGAGCAGGCTAATCAAGGTCTTCAGAGCAGTAACAAAACCAGCATTCGTAATTGTTTGTGAGAAATAGTTACTGTTTAGCAGTACAGTCCCTCTGCTGAAATACAGTTCATTGTGATAAAGTAACACACATCACTATGAGCAAGGTGGTCTTTGAGCAAAGGAGTATCAGCCACTGCACTGGTTTCCACTTCTCCTTATGAGGCTTCACCCTAAGCACTGGCTATATTAAGGTAAGACCAATTACCTACACTAGTTTTAGAAAGCTGTTTTATCTGTAAGAATATAGATTAATTACCTAAGTAACCATTCTGCTTGAAAAAGGAATCCACCCATTTGTTCTGTGTTCTGGAATAGATGTCTGGAACAAACACAGCCTTATCCTGTCTCCCACCAACCACGGTGCCTTTCAGACGACCAGCATTAACAAGTTCTTCTAGCAAAGCTACAAGAGGAAAATAAAGGAAGAGATGTTTCCTAAGTTAGTATATCCATTAATCAAAAGATAGTAATTATTTTCCCTGGTTTGTTTCTCCTTTCTTTCCACCAATTAGTTTGTGCTTGTTCTAGTGGAATATTGCCAAGCTCTATCAATTATTTTTAACACTTATGAGAATTTCTTCACAAAAGCTCTGGGAATCAGACAATGTTTCTAAAAAGTGAGCCACAATGGCAGGATCAAAATGTTTTTTATTGGATATATACCTGGGCACTTGTAGCTTTTAATTTAAAAAATGGAGACATAGAAGAATCTTTCTCTGGCCAGAAGAGTAAAATATAATAGCATTTTATTAGTAATTTTTTTTAATCACTGCTTGCACATTAACCAAAATGGAAAAATAAAATCTGAATGCAGAAAATGACATGAAAAGTCATTACCTAAACTGCATAACACAGTTGCCAATAATAACCTCTTGAGAATACTGCTAACAAAAACCATATTGGTAACTGGCAGTACCGAAGTACTAAGCACTTCTCAATGCTAAATAAGATTTTTAAAATCCATTTAAATTGCATAGGAATATCTGATTTGCCTCCTATGATCTGCTTCTGCCTTTCTGTAATACGAGAGATAGATTTTTAAAAAATCACTGACATCAACTGCTAACTCTGCTAATTTCCAGAGCTTTGCCAAATGGCTTTTTAAAATACTCAGTTTATGTTCATTTCTGTTTCATTGAAAGACATGTTTTTCTCTGGAACAAAAGAATAAATGGTATCACATGGCAAGGCTTCTTCCTCATTAAACAGAAGCAGCAATTCAACATGCTTAGTACAGCACACAGAAGTCCAGCTCACTTATGCAGGAAAGTTTACCTGAAAGCCCAGTTCCAGAAGAAACAGTGCACAGCAAATCATGACAGTTTTTGTCAGATATGCCCACAGTGTAGATGAGCTTCTATAAGCTAGCAGCTATTGAACACAACTGCCACTAGCAAAGCTGAACAATACTTACACTGAAAAACGCAGCAGAAAGAGAAATTGATTTAAACAAGATATAGCTTTATGTAATTTAAGATAAAAAACAGGAATTATGTTCTACTATGGTTCAGTTACATTGAATAAAATGGAACTTTTAAGGCCAATTCTGGAAATAAAATAAGTTTTTTGTACTTCCTAATATTTTAGTTGCCCTAGAAAATAGAGTCAAGGTGTCTGTTCCACTTAAGCAACTGTTAAATAATACAGAATGGTTCTCTGTTTGCAATTTCAGCTTCTTTTTATTCAAAGATTTTAGGAAAAATAATTAGACTTTCCTAGAACTCCACAAAGTTGGTTGAAAAATCTATTCATGCAGGAAAAGAAAAAAAATCTATTCTTTACAGAAAGATGTCAGAAGAAAAGAAGTCAAATGAAGACATCAATTAAATTCTGTACTTTATCAAGTGCCAGTTCTAAACCTCCAGGGCAGAGGAGGTGCTCTCAGTGACTTCACAGTCCATTGCTACAGTTATGTCTAGACAGTATTTTGTTTTAAAAAAACAGGATCCCTGTAGAACTACCATGAATTCTCATTTATTTTTAAAGGTGACCAAGTAGTTTGTAGTGACCTATTAGGTCTCCATCAAAGTCTGACAAAGATGATAAGTGTCCCTCCATGTCAGTCCTACACCCAATAACATAATGCCCAGAAATGAATTACATCTGTTACTTCATTATGCTTTCTAATTAGTGTCTTAACCTGAAGAGTTTCACATTTCTAAAACTACTTTTTATTGTAACTTTATGAGAGCTTAAGATGAATAGCAGCCCATCTCTGTGAAAGAACTAAAGAATAATATTTATCCTGTCTAAACTCAAGTATTGATTAAATAATTAGCTGTTTGCAAATAATATAAATATTACACTGAACTTACATTTTTATTCTGGAAGAGACAGAAAACTGATGATCACTTTTAAACACATTGCTAACAGCAACAGACATAAAAAGCTAAAAAGTAACATCATTAAAAGGTATTTTTCAAGTTTGCAACATTTGTGAAATAGAAATGGTATCTCAGCAAAGGGACACAAAATCTGGCAGCAAATAAAAAGATAAAAAGCTCTTTGAAACTTAGAAACTGCAGAGGTAATGAGAGAAAGTAAAAAAAATAAAGAAAATAATAAAAAAACCTCACTAAAAAAACCCCATGGAAATACGAGAAGAACGTACTGTGATGCTCACTGGTGTCAGGAAAATACCAGAACTTCAATTCCAATTAACACTGTACATCATCAAAACATGATGAGGTACTTGAAGGACTTATCTGAAATAGACTGTAACCAAATACTGAAATTTGCTGGGTATTGAGACATTATTATAATGCAATTTGACAAATTTTCCCTTTAATCTATGAAAACTTGGATGGCACATAAAAAAATGGTGGAAATTTTAAATTGATCATGTGGAAGTAGACTGTTTATATGATTTTATTTAAGTGCTAGGATTTTAATTTTTAATATATAAGCCTGTGGTGGAGAACAACAGGATAAGCAGAGAGATATTACAGTTGAGCTAAAGTGAACAATGCCCTGAAGGCAAAAATATCCAATCTAGAGAAGCATTAAGGTTCAGGAGAAGAGACAGAAAACCAATAAAGGATTTTAAAAGACCAGCAGCACTTGGTCAGCCAGCACAGAAGACTAATGATGCTTGAAGCAGCATTTTTGAGAGAGAGGGGTGGGCACACAAAGTGACAAACAAGTAGAGCCTAAAGATTTAAGCAGCTGAATAGGGAATTTTTATGCATTTCTACTTAGAAAAGGAAAATAAAAGCAAACAGTTTAAGGATATGTTTTATCTCTCAGAATATAAAGTCATTCAACTAAGAGTACAACAAAAGCTTAGCCTCCATTATCACAGAAAAAAGTCAGTAAATCAAATCCTGAGCAATTAATGCCATTTGGCTACATAAAATCTGTCCCCTTTTGTGTGCTTCACTGATAAAACTGCTAATAGCTAAGAGCAAATAATGAAAGAGATGAATAAATAAGTACTGTACTTCTTGCATCATTCTGTCCCCAGAGGCATCTCGTCAACAAATGTTTTCATTGCTCTGGATACAGAGAACATCCCTTCAGTGATGGATAGCACAAAGGATTTAATACTTTCTACACTGAAGAGAAACACATTGTTCTGTATTTCAGAATTAAGTCTATGTGCTAAAAAGCTTCTTTGAAAGCACACTTTTAATAATGAGGAATGGATTTCCTAACACACACACAAAATATTCTGAATGAAACTCACAGTAAAGTAAATGTTCTTGAAATCCATACCGAGTGATCAAGCTACTTACAGGTGTAGGCCTTGGGAAAAAAAAGAAAAACAAAATATAAATTAATTATATGAAACTGATGTGGAGAATCCAGAAACAAGAGAGGTTACTATAGATGAACACAGCCTCAGGGTACAACACTGATGTTTAAAATAGCTTACAAGGCTTTAACTTTGAATTACCATGAAGTAACAACACAAAAGCTATGATAATTATAAGGAAACTTCTGCTTTGTTAAGTTTTCCTCTTCCTACAAAGTGACACAAAAATTTGATTTAATAAGAAAAACTTATCTATAATCATATGTAGTGACCATATCAATATGTAACCGACTAAGTAGCAGTGGAGTGACAAGAGGACTGATATTCTACAAAGTAATAAAAGAACTACAGAGTAACACTTTCTTCAGCCAAAACACTAATATATGTTGTATAGTGTATATAACAATATAACAGTATATTTTTATATACAGTATAACAATATACAATACAACAATACTTCCTTTGTTTTCCAAAAGTGAGTTCCTATTTCTAACAAGTGAGTCTAATGTAACTGAGAATTGGTCCCAGGAATTTTACTACACTTAGGAGAATCTACCCATAGGTCCTTTTTCTTTTTCAATCACAAGTGAATCTGGACCATAAAGACCTATAGCAAAAATGTTTTAATATGTGGTTGCAGCATTGCAATTTACCGAGTAATCGCAGTGAAGAGCCCACGAATGCGCGCTCGATGGCGGGACACGAAGGCTTCTGTAAAAATCACCCCACGGTTTTCCTGGTCTAGTTGGCCATGAATAATTCTGCCCAAACGCCTGGATAATGCCTGTAAATAGAAAAATTGAGCTTTTCTAAGCATGCCTTCTTCCATCAGATATATGGGTATCTCATGACAGAAAACTCTGCAGAAAACAGAAGCATGGTTTGCAGATGCACCATGAAAATGAAGATTTAACCTTCGTATTAATTTTGTATAAAACAGTGACTTAAAGCCATGGATATTGCAAAGATAAAGAAAGAAGGTTGTCACAACCAATCCTGCATTTGCCAGGTTGGTGGCTTTCATCACCTGTAACAGGAAGTCTCCTGGAAGGTCATATGCCTTGCAGAGTTCTGATATTGTCACCTGGCCAGTCTCCTGTAGTTTATCATTTATTTCTTCTGCTAATTGATCCAGGTAACTCCTTTAGTAAAAGTGAGAAAAAGAAAAGACAAGACATTAAGTGTCACATTCAAAGTCAACCTCAAGATCACATACTGAGTAACTGACCTCTTTTAATATACCTCTTTCTGTTACATCTTTAAAAATAAACTAAAAGTTATTTTAAATGAATAAAGGAGAACAGTGTAAGGGAAAATGTGTATTTTCTTTAAAAAGCCTGCTAAGCAGGTAGCTAGTTGTAAGATGGGGCATTTATCTACTTATATGAAAATTTCAAGCAAGAGAAAGAGGAAAACATAATGTCAATGAAAATTTGGAAAACAGCTTAAGTAAGCAAGACAGGTCTTAACTATTTCAAGAGAGCCAGGTACTTCATATTCTTTGACAAGAATAGTTCCTGAAGCTCAATCAATAAAAAGGACAGCCCCATAAGAGTATTACTTCAGTGACTGTTAGTGTGCTGGAAGCCACGAAATAACCAGATCAAACATCTTAGGCTTGTGAGGTAAAACAAGAGGCAGAAGGTTTGTCAATAGCTGAGGCAGACAGCAAAGCCAGACACAAATGAGATCTGGCTGCTGTACACAAAGACACTGGGTAAGAAATTAAACCTCTTAAACACAGGACACTGAACACAGATGTTCAGGAGGGTCTTTACACCATGGATTCACTGGATGCTTTGCTGAGATAAGTCTCACCTGCCAGGAGTAGCACTGATCACCACCAAGCAGCTCTAAGATCAGCCAAGAAAAATGTATTTCACTTCAGAAGCAACAAAGGTTGGACACTAAGTTTTAGTCTGCATTTTAAAAAATAAGCATGGTATGAATTATACATATTGCTCCTGAAGGTACTCACTCATTTATAAGCTGTCCCAGTACAAGCTGAATACCTTTTTCAGATTTAACAATGTCATTAGCTCTGTTTTCAATGTGCAGAAGGTCCACATTTATCACCTAAAAAAAAAAAACCTCTTATCAGAACTTTAAATTGAAAATCATTCTCAAACACTGAGACATTAGTTACACATTCCTATACCTTGAGGAAAGATGCTCTTATTTTTTTATACTATTGCATACAAATACACTTGATCTGTGTTTTGGAATAAAGTAGCAATCCTTTAGAGAAAAAACCTCTCTTTGCAACTGTTACAAGGTTGAAGAAAACTATGTGATAAAAAAATACCAGAAAGCAGTAAGACAAAATAGGAAACTGGCTTTTAGGAAGGTTTTCTGTTTCCAAGTAATTCTGCTCAAGCCTGAAGGAAAAATTAGCCACAGAGGAAGACTACTGCAGGACAAAGATTAGTGGAGACACAAAGAATAATGAAAGAAGAGGACAGATTCAAAGAGGCATGCAAAGTTAATAATGCAGCCTCCTGCAGCTTTAAATTTAAATGGGTGACATATTTCTTTTCAGTCTGCCCTCCTTAGTTTACAAAGAAAGAGTTCATAAACAAAAAGTGTATTTATCAGTAGTAATTTCAGAAGTCCTAGATTATCACTAAGCAGAGAGGTTTCAATTAATGAACTCCGTACTCACAGCATACATGGTGATGAAAATAAAGAAGTATAAAGTTTTTATTACTAAAGTTACCTGCTGTAAGTCAACAATGTTAACTCGACCTTCAAGAAAAGATAAAACACACTTTTAGCACATGAAACATATTTGAAGAGATTTAGAATAAAGTACAGATCATTGTGCACAAAAGATTTAATTACTTTTTCTGTAGACCAATTAAACTAGTCCATGAGTGCCCAGAGATTGTTAAAACTTTCTACCTTTCATGATACTACTAACAAAAAACCCACCAAATTTTAATTCAGTCCAAGCTGTCTCAATGCCATGATACACCATGGCAAAACACAAACTGAGGCAAACCTGTGATAACAGTGAGAAAATGGCTAACCTGAATGGACATAATAAGAAGCTAATTTTTCTGAACATATGACTCAGTGAAATTCACCCTTAGGAATAACTCAAAGGACAATGCACTGCCTGCTTATTAAAGCCACAAAAAGCAATCTGAACTTCCTTATATATCTAAGTCATATCTTTCAATGCAAGTGGCTCTTCACATTGGTAAAATAAAAGAACTTCTCAATGACAATTTACAAATATTATTATTACCAATGGCGTGAAAGGAGAATGAATTTGAAATTCCAAGACAGGGTCAAACATCCTGGCCAGGTACTAACTGTATTAAAACATCAAATTTCCTTCAACAGGATTTTTATACAACTTTTATGTCAGAAATTCCACATGGGTGAAGATAAACCAAACAGCCTACCTTGATATGCTTATCTAAAAGCCTAACACAGATCTGAAGTGAAAATAAAAGAGCAGTAGGTGAATTAATGTGTAGATGGAGCAAACTGACTTTTTCGGAAAGATTAAGAGTACTGAAAACTTTCAAAATCTTTCTGTAGCCTTCAAAATTAACTTCCAAATTCAAAGGAAGAAGGAAAGTGACACACTTACCACCAGAAACATGGAGCTCATCGCGGATCTCCTTACTAATCTGTGCTGGAGTGACATACTCCTTGCCATCAAGGGTGTGCACTACTTCCAGCTGCTTCTCTGTGATCAGCTTTGTCACAATTTCTATACAGTTCCGTTCTGACAATCTATCAGAAGCAGAAGGAGTCAGCAGTTATTCTAAGCAAGTGCTTGCTAAAATTACCTTTAAAGTTTCAAACACACTAAACATGGGAAGTACTATGAAGACTGCTTGCAGTTCTTTGCGAACATACTTTTTCAGACTAAGAAATTAATGCCTGTATCCTGCTTATCACCCACCAAACTATCCATATGGTTTCACTTGGGTGGGTCATCTCTCCAAAACTTTTACTCTCCTCCTGAACAGCTTTCAGCCCTGTCAGCTGTGAGAATGCACCTGCTGGTGAATTTGGGGACGCCTGTAATTAAAGAATTCGTGTCTATGACACTTCTGTGCGCCTTTATTTTACTTTTGCGCATTTCGGATTCATTTTTCTTTAACAAAAACAAGTTCTGGGCAATGGCCTCAACTAGTCAAGCAGACAGAAGAGTGAACCGAGCACTAAAGCCGTGATGATTTTGAGCAACTCCAACTCAGCAATGACTACACACTCAGTCGCTGCCCTGGGCCTGCCCGTGCTCTGGGGTCCCCGAAGGGACGCGGGGCTCCAGCACTGACACAGGGAACGGGAGAGGGCCCGTGCCGGGACGGGCCCTGCGGGTGCACGCACCGGGGCCGCGGGGGAAGGGGCGACCGGCGGGGGAAGGGGCGACCGGCGCGGGAAAGGAGCGCGGGAAAGGGGCGCGGCAGGCGGTGCCGGCACCGCCCTGCTCACCTGTGGGCTACCTCGGCGAACTGCGCCCGCTGGAAATCGGCCGCCAGCTGCCGGATCTCCTCCCAGGCCGCCGCCATGGCGCAGCGACACGTCAGCCGCGGCCTGGCGGCGGCGGGCAGCGAGCGGGGCCGGCCTCCGCCCGCAGCGCCGCCCCGCGGCACGGAGGCGCTCCTGCGCGGGCTGGGTCATTGAAAACAGGCGGAACAAAAGCCAACCGCGGGAAAAGGAGCAAAAAGCGATTTCCGTAGTCGGGGCTGGCTCCAGCAGCGGGGTCCCGGCGGGGCGGGCACGGCAGCAGCCCTGCTGTGCTGCCCGCGGCGGCCCAAGAGCAGCCGCTCCGTTCGGGGCTATCGCAGCGGGGCTTGGGCTGTGAGCCCAGCTCTCAGCGTGAAGCGCGCTAGGAGCTGCCACCAGCGAAACCTGAAATGAAATTTACACCGGGTGTGAGATCAGTAGTGTCGCCGCTTAGCGGGATCGCTGTTGCGCGGCGAGGGGCAAGCTGAATTTATTTAGCTGTCACACCAGAAGTGAGCCCCACAGACTTAAAGGCCTTTTGGGCGCTTATCTGGAACGGACTCGCCTGTGGCGATGGCAGAGGGCACGGCACAGGGAGGGCTCCCGCCGCGGGGCGAGCAGAGGGAGCCTCAGCCACCAGGGCCTGGCACCTCCCAGGTGGGACAGCAGCAGGACACAGTGCCCGGCATCTGCCAGGCGGGACAGCAACAGGACACGTTGCCCGGCACCTCCCGGGGGGGACAGCTGCAGGACACGGTGCCTGGCACCTCCTACGAGGGACAGCAACAGGACGCAGTGCCCGGCACCTCCCAGGCAGGACAGCAGCAGGACACTGCCAGCTGCCCAGCACCGGGAATGGGGTTTGTGCTGCTGAGGCTCTGTCCTTGTCCTTCCAGATTTCTTGCTGCTTCCTGCGTAGCCGCTGTTTTCACTGACCCTGACAGCCACTCTGTGACTCTGCCTTCTAAAAGTCACAGCAAAATGTCTCTGGCGGGGCTGGTGTCGTGCTGGGTGCGGTTTAAATGGCGTGAACAAAGACTTTGTAACCAGCATAGTAAGCTGTAGCAGCATTTTTAGTGGGAAAAGTATTTGGCTTCCGGTCGTTCCCTTTGAGATAAAGAGTTAGGAGCAGGATTCATTTTGTTTGGGCAGCTGAGGTTTGCTCCTGAGGTCTGGTCTTGGAGCCTCTGCCTGCAGCGAGACAGGCTCCCCAAAGAGCAGCTCTTCCTAAAATATAGCCCTAAACCAAGCTCACTAATTGCAGCAGGGAGGTGTCTGTGCTCCTCCGCAGGCAAAGGAGACAGCAAGGGACATTGCTTAGCCAGGCCCTTGATTTAGGCATATTTCTGTGAATGAACAGTGTAGTGGAAGAACAGGGAAAAAATGTGATAGCAATTTTGGGGGCAATGTTTATGAAGATTATACAGAAATAGGCTACCATAGGGGACAACAGGAAAAAGAACTAGGGACTTAGAACTGTATTTCTCCTACCTAATCTTAAATGGATTTGAAGACCTTTAATTTTATGTATACTCTACCAGGCAATAGAGAATCCCTTTCAGCTAAAATCTGAATCACTGGACTGGCCAAACTGAGTGTTGTAGTTAAGATTCCAAAGTGATACATAATGGCTGGACCTTCACTTGTGTGTGTATGGCTTGAGTTCAAGCCACAGTTCCCAGATTTCTGGAAACAGTCATCTGTAAACAGAGCTGGATTATTGTGGGTTTTTTTTTTTTTTGGTGGGTTTTTTTGGGGGATTTTTTTGTTGTTTCTTTTAAAAATTAAGCTCAGAGTTATGTTCTACCAGCATGTAAAGAAGGAGCAGATGAATCATAAATACACAACTGTTACAAGCATTTGATATTTCCAAATTTCAGGTTCTGAGTCCACAATCAAAGAAATTTTATAAGGACCCTTTTCTTTCAAGACATATGTACACATGCACAACAGATACATACCTAATTGCTATTCAAGTAGCAGTTCAGATTTGTTTTTTCTGTAGAAATCCATTTTCTTTAGACAGCTTATAAGTTAAGTTAAATCTTGTTTTAAAAATAGAGTAACTGATTCATTTTACTAGCACAAACCTCTTACAGTTAACTGAGCTCTAATGTTATTAGCATCTATTTTATGCATGGCTATGATGCTGAAAAATGAAGTTGATACCACTTATTTTTCTGCAAGTCTTCTGAGTTAGCTGATTCCAGAGCTATCATAGTAGCACAAATGTTTTTGTTTCATTGTTGCGGGTTTATAAAAAAAGTGTGAAGGGTTTTGTAGCTAAAATGAGGGCAAAAGTTTAAATAGACTTTTACATAGTTATTATAATATGGATTGATGGCTATATTCCATTGGCACAAAGTAAATAATTTCTTATGAAAGACATGCACAGTATTGCATTGATTCACTCTAGGAATATCAATTACCCTGTCTTAAATGGGGACAATAACAGCAAATGATAAGGTTCTTACTCCTGTCAAAATGAATCAATGCTGACTGTATGACATAAAGTACATTATGAAGGTTGTTATTCTAGTATTCATGTAATAATATAATAGTAATATAGCAGATATTTTTAGGAGTATGTAGAAAATACACAGAAAAAATGAGTAATGCAAAATAGAGAAGAACAAAGTTTCTAAGAGGTGTGGTTTATGACAAAACTTTTTGCTTGGTATAAAAAATGAGTTGGAGGAATTCTGATATGCACAATATATTTTCCTTTTCCTCAGAAAGAGCAGTGTCACACCACATAATGGAACCTTACCTGATATTTGCAGAGGAATTGGATTGTGTGCCGTCTGTGTTTTTGATACAGAGAATTTAAGACAAAGACAGTAAATAGCAATGTAAGCACTTTTAATGAAAAATTAGAAATTATGCAGGTGGAAATGAATAAATAATTGTGTAATAGGATATCTGAAAATGGTTTGTAAGCTGAATGAAATGGAGTGTAAGTTAGAATTATTTTTAAATGATTCTTTCCTTCTCCATCTGTTATGATATTATCTTCATAACTTGCTGGACATCTTTTCCTACCAAACAGGTGAGTTTGTGAATTTGGATGGTTTAGCTGTCATGTTTTGCTCATTAATGTGTTTACTTTGATATTAGCGATCAGAAAGGTTACTTCTCATCTCATTTGGTTTTTATTTTTCTTGTATACAAAATATTAGTAACAATTTTGATGTGGTGACCCATAAGGTTTATTTGATGAAGGAACAGGTGCTGAATGACCCCTTTCTTTATCAGAGAGAGCTGGCAGGAAAGAGCACAAGCTCTTTTTAAATGGTAACTGGCTATTGGACTTTGATTAGAAGAAGGGTTTTCACCCTGTCTGTTTGTGCTGTGTGTAGCTTTGGCTTTTTCCATTTTCACAGTCCCTTCTTAATGCACAGTTATAAATAGCATAATGTTTGCTTTTTGGTGCACTCTTCTCTCTTTTCCTGTCATTTGCACTGTAGCTGTGCTAATAGGAGGGTGCTTAGCTCAACCTCAGGCAGCCTTTTCTGCATAATTGGTTCAGTTAGGAAACAACACACTTTCAATTAATTAGTGTGATTACCTACCTAACAGTAGATAGAGGAAATTTGGTACTCATTTGGTTCTTTCTTTGCAGTGAATATTCATATCAATAATAAAATCTACCCTGAGCAACACATTTCTAGACATGCAAGGTATTAAACAGCACATGTATGTGGAAAATCTCACAAGTGAGTGTACTAAATGCATCAGCACCTGCCTCATTCATACACTTTATTAATGTGGTTCAGAGATGTGCTCATAAAATCATATTCATATAGGTACCATGGTTTTTCTACTATTTTAAGTAGCTCTTTCTGTTAATATATGTATAAAGCTAATGAGTTTTTCTAAGCTTTGAAGTACTGACTTCAGTTTATATCCTTGTTTGGAAAGGTAGTTCTCTCTGTTTGGATTAGAAGACTAAATGTACTGAAGTGTTCAAATGAGCAAATTCCCACATTGTGTTTGACAAAACTGCCTTTGATCTTTTCTGAGGAATAGTTAAACATAATATGCAGAATTTAGATTAACCATTAGTTTGACCTGATCTTTGACTATGATTCAAGGGAAGAGACATGTATTCCTGCAGTTTTCAGCCATATGCCCAGTTAAAAATTAAATATTTGTAGAAAAAAATTGAAAAAAACAAAAGCCGCTGTAAATACTCACATTTTGTGATTCAGCTGAATATTTTGATTAATGCTAAATAGAGGATCAATTTGTCAGTAATAGCATAGCATGTCGTAGTGAGAAACTGCAAACATTAAATATATCTTCCTCTGATATACTGAACTATCATGGAACAAAGCACTGAAGTAGTATATAAAATTTTTATTCATAGTGTGCTAGAAGGCCTTGTGAAGTATTGCAACAATACAAAATATATGTTGGTGCATAAATAAACAAGCTTTTTTGCTATCAAAGGGAACAGAGAAAATTTTAAGAAGGTTGTCAACAGAAGGTCTCAAAATCCAATGGCAAGCAAATACTTAAGCAGCACTTGAAACCAGAGAATTAAAATAAAAGCCCTCAAAGACAGGAGGGAAGTACAGATTTAGTGTTTATATAATTTAAAAATGCAATGTGGACAAATGCAAAAATAAAAAGAAAACCAAAATCTTTTATCCCTGGAGTGCTTTTTTCCCAGCAGTATATTTCCAAATGCCTTTTATGTGATGCTTCGTTTGTACAAGGATTATGTTGTCGTTGAGCTGTCACTAATCTCATCCTAAAGCAGAGAACTGAGGTTTTGCATATCCTTGACAGGTATCAAAAGATCAGCAGAGGTGCCAGCTCAGAGCACAGCGTGGGTTCAGGTACTGAAGGTGCTGGAAATCCATTGCCATGAAATGGGAGAGAACTTCATAAAAGCATAGAATTCTGTATTTCACACAGGAGGGGGAATTTTAATAGAAAGGAAGGAACCAGGTTTCAAGCCTACCTGTCTCTCTGTCATGCCATGACCTCTGAAATTGCCCCTTTGAACCATGTGGTTTCCATCACTTTACAGGAGAGGCTTTTGACTGCAGTTTCTCT